TATTTTAAAATAGTTAAACAACTTAACATCTCCTCTACTAAACTAAACCAAACCAAACCAAGTCTTAAGTCCTATCAAATGGGGTCGGCTACATGAATCCTTCTTCTCCACTCAGTCCTATCAAAGGCTATTCATTAGTCAAATTAAGTAGATTCATATCTCTATTTAAAATGCTAGTCAACGTTAATCTAGGCCTACCCCGTCCCCTAACACTTCCATCTATTGTTACAATATCGCATCTTTTCACTACTGCCTCTATTGGTCTCCGTTGAATATGACCAAACCATCTCAAACGATTCTCTCTCAACTTATCTTCTATCGGTGCTACTCCTACCCATTCCTGAATACAATCATTCCTAATACTGTCTTGTCTAGTCTTACCACACATCCACCTTAACATCTTCATCTCAGCCACACTCATCTTATTTACATGTTGTTTCTTGGTTGCCCAACACTCCGTCTCATACAACATAGCTGGTCTAATAGCCGTTCTATAAAACTTACCTTTTAGTCTAATGGGTATTCGTTTATCGCACAATACCCCATATGCAATTCTCCACTTACACCATCTCGCCTTAATCCTATGGGCCACATCTGCATCAATCTCTCCCGCTGTTGTGATAATCGACCCTAAATAACGAAAATGTTCACTCTTAGGCAATTCTTGGTTCTCAATCTTCACTTCTTCTCTGCTTTCATTGTTACTGTTACTAAATTTACACTCCATGTATTCTGTCTTAGTTCTGCTTATTCGGAATCCTTTAGATTCAAGAGTTTTTCTCCAAATCTCTAACTTTGTGTTAACTCCTTCTCTAGTCTCATCCACTAGCACAATATCGTATGCAAAAAGCATGCACCATGGCACGTCATCCTGAATATTTATCGTCAACTTGTCCATAACTAACGCAAAAAGATAAGGACTTATGGTAGATCCTTGGTGTAACCCTACAGTGATAGGAAATTCATTTGTCTCTCCAGCTGGCGATCTAATAGTGGTCATCACCCCTTCATACATGTCCCTAATCACGTCAATGTAACCTTTTGTCACCCCTTTCTTCTCTAACACCCACCATATTTTGTCCCGGGGCACTCTGTCATATGCTCTCTCAAGGTCGATAAACACCATATGAATGTCGTTTTTCTTTTCTTTATACTTTTCTATTACTTTCCTCAAAAGATAGATTGCTTCCATTGTTGACCTACCAGGTATAAACCCAAATTGATTCTCTAACACCTCTGTTATATCTCGCAATCGGCGTTCCATCACTCTCTCCCACACTTTCATTAAATGACACATTAGCTTGATTTCTCTATAGTTGTTACAATTCTGGACATCACATTTATTCTTATAGATTGGCACTAAAATACTTTTCCTCCACTTATCTGGCATGTTCCTAGTTAACAAAATTTTGCTAAACAACCTAGTCAACCAACCAACTCCCTTTTTACCCAAACACTTCCAAGTTTCAATAGGGATATCATCGAGTCCTAAAGCCTTATTTGATTTCATCTTCTTGGTGCAATTTCCACTTCAAAGTTCCTAATCCTGTGATAGAACCTATAGTCTTGGTTTATCGTATTACTGGCTATTTCTTCCCTTATTGTCGTACCTCCATGTTCCTCATTTAATAGTTTCTCAAAATAATCATTCCATCTTTTCTTAATCTCATCATCCTTCACCAATACCTTAGAATTCTCACTCTTGATGCACTTTACTTGATTGAAATCTCTTGTTTTCCTCTCCCGTATCTTAGCAAGTTTGTATACCCTCTTCTCTCCCTCCTTACTATCTAGTCTAGTGTATAGGTCATCATATACTTTCAACTTGGTCTCTCTCACTTCTTTCTTGACCTCCTTATTAGCCAATCTATAGCTCTTAAGGTTTTTCTCAGTTCTATCCTTCTGCCACTTTTTAAAGCACTCTTTTTTTACTTTAATTACCGCTTGAACCTCTTCCCTCCACCACCAAGTTTCCCTAGACCTGGGTCCCGTTCCTTTCGACTCTCCAAGCACTTCCCTTGAGATTCTCCTTATATAATTTGCCATCGAGTTTCACATAGTGTTAGCATCACCTTCTAAGTCCTAAGTACCTGCCTTATCCATTCGATTCTTAAATATTTCTAATTTATCCCCTTTTAGATCCCACCATCTCGTCCTACGACGCCCACCATCCTTCTTAGCTATGTATTGTCCTCTAAAACATAAATCTAGTACCAAAATCCTATGTTGAGAGACCAGACTCTCTCCAGGAATCACCTTACAATCATTGCATTTTAGGTGGTCCACTTTTCTCACTAAGAAGTAATCTATTTGACTCTTAACTAATCCACTCTTAAAGGTTATCAAATGCTCCTCCCTGTTCTTATACATAGTATTGGCCACCACCAGGTCAGAAGCCAACGCAAAATCTAAGATACTCTCTCCAGCCTCATTTTTGTCACCAAAACCGTATCCACCATGCACCCTTTCATAACCTAGTTTATCTATGCCCACATGGCCATTAAAATCTCCACTTGTAACCAAGTTCTCTCCTACGGGTATCTCCTGTAAGATCTCATCCATTTGCTCTCAAAAATCCCTCTTAGTTTGATCATCTAACCCTACTTGAGGGGCGTATGCGCTAATAATATTCACTATATTCCCTCCAATAACTAGTTTAACTAGCATAATCCTATCTCATTTCCTAGTGACTGCCACTACACTTTCCACAAGACCTTTGGCAATTATGATTCCTACCCCATTCCTGCGTCTATCCTTACCACTATAATATAGTTTAAAATCGGTATCCTCAATTTCCCTAACTTTCTCTCCCGTCCACTTAGTTTCTTGTATGCAAGCTATACTAACTCTCCTCCTAATCATAACATCTATCAATTCCATCGTCTTACCAGTTAAGGTTCCTATGTTCCAAGTAGCTACCCTAAATCTATAGTCTTGGACTAGCTTCTTTACCCGCGCTCGTCTAGAAAAGCGCAGAAACCTTTGCCCATTTTTCACCGCACCCAGGCGTCGATGTGGCGCCCCTTGCTCACTATTCGAAACACCCGGAGGCAGGCGCATCGCGTCACTTGAGGGGAACGACCTAGCATTTAAATGATTCAAAGTACGATTCATTTTTATAAGGGATCCGAGCGGCTTTTTTACATGTTGGTTGTCGGCTACCTAACACACAACTCTTCTCCTTAACCCGGGCTTGGGACCGGTAGAGTTGTTAACAACCCCGGCGGAGTTGGTTCTAGTAAGAAATTTTTTTGGGTTAATTATAATTTTTTATTAAAGATTTCACACATTTTTCACTTAAACCCTATTGTTTCAATTTTGACAAATTAAATCTTAAAGTTTAATTTGTGTTTTAATATGATCACTCTGTCCATCTCAGTTTATGTAAGGTAGCGGAGAGAGTTTAAAATAAAAAATACATGAAATCTTGAGATTTTTTGTGAAATTAACCATTTAAAAAAAAAATTAAAATCACTAAAAATAAACCTCAATATTTTACGTATTTTTCACTTTAAACTACAGTATTTTTTACTTTAACCACCCTTATGGAGATAGACAGAGAAAACCCATTGAAACATGGATGGAATTCTGGGTGTGTTTGTTTTGAAGGATTAGGGAGTGGGATTGGACTATTAGTCCCACCGGACTAATAGTCCATTGTTTGTTTCATTTTTTTTTGCTCCGGACTTTTAGTCCCACAAATATGGGACTATCATATCCCATGGGGAGAGGTGGGATAGAAATTATGGGATTGGTATCTCATGAGATTATTTTGTAAAATGTCCATTTTATCCTCCATGCTATTACTTAACAAACAATTAGAAAAGGATAAAATAGTCTTTTGAACATTTATAAATTATTTTTTTAGGGTTGTTAATTTAAAATTATATATTAAATAAAAAATTTAAATTATAAATTTAAATAAAAATAATAATTATAAATTATAAATTATGGCCTTATAAATTAAATTTTTTTAGTGTTGTTAAAAAATTAAATTTACATATTAAATTAAATTATTTTTTTAGTGTTGTTAATTTAAAATTATATATTAAATAAAAAATATAAATTATAGATTAAATTTATTTAAAAATAATAAATTATAAATTATGGCCTTATAAATTAATTTTTTTTGTATTGTTGAAAATTTAATTTATATATTAAATAAAATTATTTTTTATTGCCATTAATTTAAAATTATATATTAAATAAAAAATAAAAATTATAAATTATAAATTTAATTTAATTGAAAATAATAAATTAACATAATTAAAATATTATGCAAAAAATAAAATAAAATAAAATTTTATTTAATCTAGTTAAAAATAATTAAAATATTAAAGCTATGTTTAATATTGCTATTGCTTAGTAAATAATTGAAAATGATAAAATAGTCATTTGTGCATTTATCATTCTCCATGATATCCCAAACAAACATTAGATAACTAAAAATAGTCCAATCCAGACATCTAATCTCATGACTTAATAAATATAAGATACAAATTTAGTTCAATCAAATAGTCCCGGGACAATGTATCCCAAGACTAATAGTTCGATAGATTACAATTCCTTCTTATTCAGTCCGTCCAAACAAACGCATCCTCTATAATTTAATTTGTCAAAATTGAAACACTAGAGTTTAAAATAAAATGCGTGAAAATTTGAGGTTTTTTTTTTTTGTAATTAATCTATTTTTTTTATTATATAAAATTTACTAGTTTATATTAAAGGGAATTGACTAGTAAATTCTAATTTGTCATCTCATTTATTAATAACAAATATCATAAAAATATTAATTAATAAAATGAAAAATAATTAGTTTATAATTTTCGTAAATTCATTTTCTTAACAAATATCATAAAAATATTAATTAATAAAATGAAAAATAATTAGTTTATAATTTTCGTACCCCATACTTTTATGGGGAAAAAAAAAAAACTGATTTAAATTAATTTGTTTGAGAGAGAGAGAGAGAGAGAGAGAGAGTGAGAAAATTCTTAAATTAATTTGTTTGAGAGAGAGAGAGAGAGAGAGAGAGAGAGAGTGAGAAAATTCTCTGCTGGATCAATGGATTCCATGGACTTGATGACGGCGAAGAGACCAAACCCTCTTCTCCGGCGCAGAAACTCAATCGCCACCTCCGCCGTCGTCCCCTCCACCCTCACCCTCCCAACAAAACCCCTCCACGCCGCCAGCTTCCCCACCGTCGCCGCCGCCTCCTCCTCCACCTCATCCACCACCTCATCAGCCAATTCATCATCACAACCCTTTTTCGAGCTCATCTCCATCAAACCCCTCTCCTACACCTCCCTCAAGGACCTCCTCCCCTCCTCCGCCGTGAATTCCCCCACCTCCTCCGCCCCCGCCCAGTCCGGCTACGAGATCTCCATCCGCAATCGCCTCGTCAAACAGGCCGCCTGGGCCTACCTCCAGCCCATGTCCACCTCCCCTGGCTCCGGCGGCCGCCACTTCCTCTGCCGCTTCCGCTCCAAAATCTCCTCCTACCTCCTCAACAATCCCTTCACCTCCTTCCTCCGCTTCCTCTCCCGTTCCATATCCCGAGCCTTCGATCACCTCCTCCGATTCATTCGGAGCTTCAGATAACACTCCAAACCTAATGCTAGGGTTGTTGTGGATTTGTTATCTATATTTATTTTCAATCATATGTGCTCATATAACGCCAAACCTAACGGTATCAATAACAACCTGGTATTTGTTCTCTATATTTATCTACAATTATTCAAGACTTTTTCTTTTTTGTTTTTGTTTTTGTTTTTTTTTTAAATTTTTCATTAATTTCAAGTTCTCTCCATATGTAGAAAACAAATTACATGGGGTACAAAAAGATAATTGAATTTGAGAGTTTTTTTTATTTTATTTTTAATGGAATCCTTTGGACCGGCGGAGTCGGAGCCGGGCGGCGTGTAGCTGATTGTCAACACCGGTTTCTTTTTCATCGGTTGAACTGGGTTCGCTACCGGAGCTCGGTTCGAGTTCCTCTTGAGTAGTAGTGTGTATGAATTCTGCTTGACTGTGGAGGTGAACTTGACCTGCCTCTGATTTGGGTGAATTGGCCACGAACCGGTGGTGATTTGCGGTGCCAAGAGATGTAGGAGGTAGTGGTGGCCGCCCCCTCTCGGAGGATGGATGCCTGCGCTTGTTAGCCATACGGTGGTGAAATGCCGGTGATCCAGTCGGAGAGGATGGAGGAGCTGCTGCTGTTGGGTATGGGTTTTCATTCTTATGCTGCTGCTGCTGCTGCTGCAGCATAGGCTGGTTAAGCTTATTTGTTAGATTGAATTTTGAAACATATGAAGGTGAAAATAGTGAACCATTTTCTAATATATAGAGTAAATCGATTTGTGTTTGGTACAATGCATTCTTGTTAATGCAATTGTGACTTTTAATGAATGAATGAATGAGAATTTTCCTACAATTGCTTGTCCATGACATTATGATTTGTTAGCTACATTAAGGTGCTGATGGTATAGGTGTTTGTTTTCTTAACTTTGTGATTAGGGGCTCGAGTTCCATGGTTGTCGTGTTTGGTTTTGGTTTTGTTTTTGTTTTATGTTTTTGTTTTCCCAAAGGCACAAGTAAAAATTGTTTGGCAAACTTTCTGAAAATAGCTTCTGCCAAAATTGTTAGAAAACAACCCACTTTTTAGGAAATATATCAAAAAGTTGTTTTGAATTTTTAGAACTGTTTGTTGCATAAAAATGAAAATGATGGATGTTTTGAACTTTTCACCGTTTTTATTTCTGAAAGCATGAAAACGAAACACATAAATTTTTGTGTATAGGTATCACAAACCATCTTCCCATAAACACTTCATTGTCACAAATCTCTGCAATTCAAATCTGTTTGCCCAAATGGTGAATGGTGAAATTTTGTGATAGGGTTAATAGAAATTAAGAAAGAAAGTAGGAACAGTATAGAAATGTTGTAAATAGCAGTTCTTGCTTAGATTTTTCAACCTGTCCAATGTAACAGTATAGTATTTCTAAAATGTCATCCAAACCATGCATAATTGGAAGTTCAAAGCTCAAACTTGTCATTTACAGAAGTGGTCTGGTTTGGATTTGGAACTACCAAGTGTGTCTATACATGTTATGCCTAATTGTTCATGGAACAGATTGCTTCTTTGCTTTGAGGGTGGGATGATTATAAGGCTCACAAAGCTATGAACCCTAGATAATAACATGGGACCAATAGCCTTGTGAGTGACTGTGTCATATTCTGTGTTCTATTTCTGTGCGCATAGCAAGACTAGATAGCTAACCTGTTGGAAGCTTTACCTCATCGTTGGGTTTTGTTGTTGTAATCTTTCCAGACTGAGCAGCCATGTACTGAAGAGCTTGGATAATTGTTGATTGCCTTATTTTTGTGCAGTTTTGCCAGTAGTAAATAGCCAAGTCCCATGCCCTGGCCCTCAGCTCCTGCAATTTCCGGTCAATCTCTGTCTCATGCTTTGATATGTATGGCCGCAAGAAAGTTTCGTAGATATAGCTGGTTCCCTGCATTATTAACCACCACAAAATTATTTCTTTTAGCACATCATAATCATGTTTGGCGATGCCAGGCTTGGTGATGCGATTAATTGTCCCTTTCTTTCTTTCTTTCTTTTTTTACCTGGGTCTTTGGGTACCACAGGTAGATAAACACGGCAAGCTTCATCTCACCATACATTGGCAACCTTCAAAAGCGTTAAAACAGAGCTTCATATTTCAACATGAGAAATGGATGATATGTACAAGCAAAGATTGAGAAAAAGTGTGTATATACCACGAAATGAATATATCCCCGATTCTCTCAGACTGTAGACACTGCCACAATTATCCTGCAAAATTCATAAACAATAGTTGATTAAAAAACCTGTTGAATTGCAAAAAATTTCTCTCTTTTATTTTTTTTATTTTTTTTTATTTTTAGGGGGGGGGGGGGTTTATTTATTCTTTTTCCTCTGTTTTCTGTTTTTTTAAGGGAATTTATTTTTTGGGGGGGGGGTGTATTTATTCTTTTGTGTATTTATTCTTTTTCCTCTGTTTTCTGTTTTTTTAAGGGAATTTATCAGGAGGGATTGGAAGAGAAGAGACCCTTCATTTGATTCATTTTTGGAATCATCTACACTATAAATCCACATATTCATGACAATTCATGCCAATCTAAAAGTTCTCGAAAACCTGTTGAATCAAAAAATAGTTTTTTGTTTTGGGTATTTATTCTATGTCTCTATTTTATCCGTTTTTTGATTGGGAAATGATCACATCAATAAGTTGAAGAACAGTTGGAAACGAAGAGACTCTTCGATTGATTCGTTTTTAGAACCAACTAGAAATTAGAACCAACTAGAAATCAACAAATTCATGACATTTTATTTCATTTCAATCTTTTCTTGAAACTTCTTTCACATCCATTAATTCTTGCTCATAATTCACGCATTGAAGAGTATGAACCGCCATCATCGCTAATTTTTCATACATATTCAATTGTTTTGGATTATTTGTTCAGCCTTTGAATTATCACCAGACATTTTTATTCGATGATCATGTCGTTATTGTTTGAAAGCTAAAAATGATGCTATTATTATTATTGACTATAAGCATTATGTATTTAGTTTTCAGGTTTTGTATTAACAAAAAATTGCTTAGGTAAAAATGAGAAGGGTGACCGTGCCAAAGTTTTAAAAAATAAAATTTGATTAGCTTGTACCACACTAGACATTTTAAAAAGACTAGCACCAACAATTTCACAAAACATATTTGAGTCAACTTCAATTGCAATTCTGTTCTTACCAATATTGACACCAAAAACGAAGCTCTTCGATCTCAACTCTGTTCTTCTCAACTGTTTTGCAACACTCAAACGCAGGGTATGCATATCCAAGGACCAGACTGCCAATCAAACATGTAAGAATCAGCCTTTAATTAGGTCAATAATCCAAGAATATTCATTTCAGAAAAAGAAAAAAGAAAAAAAGAAAAAGAAAAAACAGGAAATCAAACAGTGGCAAAAAAGAAAGATCGGTTGATAACATACACAGGTCCTCTGGTGAAGAAATCTCCCAACATCCTTAATTCCTATCTCTCAATGTTCGCCAATATTCCTAAGCAACCAAACAAATCATCATACATATATATATACACACAAATACAAATAAAAAACAAATACATCAATTTTTACGAAGTTGACATGGGAATATCCAAATGGATGGGAAAAAAAAAATCAAGAACAATATAAATAATTTCAAAATTTGAATTTGAAAACCCAAAAATAGTTGAATCATACTTGTGAAAAGCAAAATCAAAACAAAACAAAACCCAAGAAGCAATTGTGCCGAAGACTCGTGATCCCTTTATGCAAAGATCAATCGGTTGAAAACAGGGGCATTTGACGGATTCAAAGACTACATTCGAATGAAAATCTATCTTTTCAGGAAAAGAAACAGAGAGAAATGGGGTTTGAGACTAGTTCCTTTCAAAGAAATGGAATTGAATTACCTTGGAATTCCCTGCATTTGGGTGAATGGGAACAAAATGAGAAATACCCAGAAAATTGAGAAGAGATTGAAGAAGCAACAAATACATCTATCTAACAGAAGAGTTTCAGACAGTAAGAAATTATATATATATATATATATATATATAAAATATCCATAGCAAAGGCTGATTAGCGAAAGGATTGAATTATTGGGTAGATGACCACTGTAATTGCTCTGAGTTCAGAAAAAAATTACATACATATATAAACCTTTAGGTCATCTAGATTGAGAGAGCGAGATGGATTGAGAGACCGAGAGAAAAGGGGGATTGAGAAACCGACAGAAAGAGAAAGAGAAAGAGAAAGCGAAAGAGAAAGAGAAAATTTGGCGGAAATTTTGGAGAAAGAGAAAGCGAGAAAGAAGACGGACTGAGAAACCGAGAGAAAGAGAAATCCATACCTGTGAACCAGCGAGCGCGAGAGAGGGAAAATTTGGCGGAAATTTTGGGGAAAATCAAAAATGAATTGCTCTGTTCTTTGTGAAAATAAATCACTCTATTAGGATCATAGTTTCAATTTATATATGTTAGGATCAAAGGAGAGAGAGGAAGAGAGAGAGTGAGACCTGATAAGTTGGAGAGAAAGAATTCCCACATTTTATAACTTCCCACGTTCAATAACTGCTTTCAACTTCCATCTTTTTTGTTTTTATGCGCATGTATCTATCTATTAATCATATATATATATATTATGGGGGTGCTTGTGAAGTGTTTTTTTTTTTGTTAAAAAAATATTAAAAGACAAAATTGGTTAAAAAAAATAAAAAAATTCAAACAAAATGTCATATCAAATCTATAATCATTTCATTTTTTCTCTCACAAACATCACATCCAACTATAAAAAAACCAACTATCTTCCTAAACACAAAAATTTTAACCTTTTAAAATAATCAAAAACTAAAAATATCTACTAAAATAACAATTTTCCAAACACCCACTATATATTCTAAATTACTGATTTGTGGTGGGAGTTCGTACCCAAGGGAATGGGATAATACAAGTTTAGGCTGTTTGATGCAATTGTTTGCGAGAAGTATGCATTAAATTTCTTTTTGAAAAATGAGTCAAACTCCATTTGTGGAGGACCCCTACAACCCTCTTATTAATCTACACCATTCATGATGTGTGGGACCCACTCATGTATGTGCGGGGTCCACATCATGAATGGTGTGGATCACAAAAGGGGTTGCGGGGTCCTCCACAAAGGGGGTCTCTATCATTGCTGTTTCTTTTTATCATGTATGTATGAGAAATTTTTGTACGGATTATATATATACATCACATTGTAAATTGAAAATTCGTAGTTTTGTTTATTTTGGATTCAAGTTAATGTATATAACAATTTTATATATAATGTTATGTACATCATTTGTGTTTTGATGCAATTGTTTGTTTGGGTTTGATTTATTTGTTTGTTGTTTTAATAGTGTTTAGCCTCTTTGGGGAAAAAAAAAAATACAGCATAAAAAATATTCAGTATTCATAAAATTTATTTTTAAAATTTGTTTTTTTTTTACTGTAAGTATATATCAAATCTCTTTATCACTAAGTGTTTTGTGTAATATGATTCATTATAATTTTTATTCTCCTCATTAATAGTGTTCAGGTTCTTTGGGGAAAATAGTATAAAAAATAATCAATGTTTGTAAAATTTATTTTTTAAAATTTGTTTTAATTTTTTTAAACTATTAAGTGTATATTAAATCTCTTTATCTGTAAGTGTTTTAAGAATCATTGGTGTCATTTGTTTGTTAAAAAAAAAAATTAAGCGTTTTAAATTTTTTTGGATGTGTTTAAAAAATTTGGTGTTCTTCAGTATTCTTAGATTCTACATAATTGTAAGTGTTTTGAGAGTTTTCAATTTCTGTTTTTGTATTTTTTTGTGTATTACTGTTAATTATACTTTTC